CAGCTATCATGCTAGTATTCAGATGGCACCATTTGAGACGCTATATGGTAAGAGATGTAGGTCTCTCATTGGGTGGTTCGAGACTGGGGAAGCTGAATTGATAGGACCAAACCTCAAGCATCAAGCTATGGAAAAGGTTGCGATGGCCTAGCCGATCGGGCCGTGATCGGACGTCATGCCGTACACATGGTGGTAAATATGCTGAATTGGTAATTGAAATTGTGGATATAGTTGATGTCTCAAATGAGATGACCTCGCCGATTGGGTCGAGATCGGACTCCGTGTAAGAACACGGTGGTATTGTGGATTGTGGCATATCGACACTAAAAATCACCCAACCTAATAACGTGGAAATTGACTTGAAAATCTATGTGATTCTTAACTTGATGTTTTAGTGTTATTTGAAGCTTATATTGAATTCTTGACTGTTTCCCCTGTATTACTATTCATTCTATTGAGATGGTGTTTAGTTTACATACTAGTACTATTCGACAGTACTAACGTCCCTTTTGCCGGGGGCGCTGCATCTTTAAATGGATGCAGGTGGTTCCATAGCGGACAGTGTTGATAACAGATAGTGGTTCATCCTCTTCCCAGCGGACTCGGTGAGCCCCATTTCATCCCGAGGTCATGTATGGTATCTCTTGTTCATAATGTTGTCACGTTTTGAGGTAAAGCCGAGGCCTTGTCGCCGGCACTATCTTAACACTCTTTTGTATCTTTAGAGGCTCCGTAGACACTATGTGGGTTGTATATGGGTGTTAGAAAGGTCAACGGATTATGTTGTGTTTTAGACTCTTGTTCCACTCTATAATAAGAATAGAATGTGTGTATTTTGAAACTTAACAATGATGTAACTAATGAAATGATTTAGTAATGTATACGTGATCTTCTTAATGTCTAATTAATGAAAACATGCCCTCTCTTGATCATAAGTGAGTCCGGTAGAAAGTGTCTAACAGGCTTGCTCGATCGAGTCCACTCGGTTGAGCGCCGGTCGCACTTCCTGAGGTTGGGGCGTGATAATAGAAACCATCCGGTAATCTATTTGATGTTTCCGATGACTGTTCCAGCGGCTAGTTCCTTTTCTAGCAAGCCACAATTTCTGGGAGCTATAGTGTTGCTAAACCTCTCTTCAATTCAAACCATACAACTTTTCATAGTATTGCATCTCATTTTGCTACAACCAATTTCTCAAATTCTTGACTAAAAGTTGTATGGTTTGGATTAAAGAGAGGTCTACCACCACTATAGCTCCCAGAAATTGTGGCTTGCTAGAAAAAGGAACTAGCCACCGGAACAGTCACCGGAAACTTCAAATAGCTCACCGAGAAAAAAAGGTCGTCGAAATTAGATGTAAACAGGCTTGGTAGGGTCGGAATTGCCTTGTAAACAAGCTGTCCTGAAGAAGCTCGGCTAAAAAAGGCCGGAGAAGCACGCACGCGCCGGCGCGTGGGACAGGTGAGCCGGCGGAGTCACAGATCTGACAAGCGCGTGGAGGCACGTGAGCTATCTGTTGCAGAAGAATCTGAGTAGGGCTTGGTCGCCGGAGTTTTCCGAGTCTAATGGTGGTGTTGGTTTGTGCACGACGCTCACCAAACGTGAGATGACGCAAATTAGTCACTTAGGTCACCGGAAAATTGCATGGTGATTGAGTTCTTTGTTCCCGGATGTCGCTGGAATGACGCACAACGAGTTTTCCTCACTGATGCTCTGATACCATGTGAGAAAGCACGGGAGAAAAATATATTTTATTGATGTACTCTATTAAGTGTTTACAATTGCCCTATTTATAACTATATACAAGACATATTCTGCTCCTATTCTATGTGGGACTAAGGTTATTTACATAACTATCTATTCTATTTATCAGAATCAGCAACAGGTAGCTTCTGTTTTATGTCTGCTGAATGATTTGATTGTGACAACGGACAGAAGGAGAAGGATTATACAAAACCACCATTTGTTAAAAAGATACAACTTGTGATGTTTATGTCCTTCAGTGGCGAAAGAAAATAATGTCCGGATATCATCAATGTAGTCATAGGAGCTCATTTCGCTAATCCAAGGGTAGGCTTGTAAGAGTTAAAACACAGCAGAACTCCTCATGAGACTTCAAATAAGATGAACTAGATCAATTTTCAATCCAAGACCTTCCAACATGGAGGACCAGAATAAGTGAACATGAATAATCCATTCAAAATAACAAGTTAAATATGGAATATCACTTCAAAGAACGCCGTCAATTACAGGGAACTGATTATCAAATTCCATATGATGATTTGTATTCTTTTGTTACAAGAGAATGCTAATCCATGTCAATCTAAAAGCGTGAGTAACTAGGCAACTATTGATCCCAAAGCAAGTAATTCCTTTTCTATAAACCCCGCCACCATGCACATGCACACATCGACAAATACAAAGACTATAAAATCAGTCCTTACTATGATAGACAAGAAAATAATGTGCAGAGACTGCTGCAAAATTGCAAATGCAATTTTACTGCGCTTGAGCATTTCACCAAATTAGCTGTACAAGACATCTAATCAAATTGATCATGAGAGTTGATTGGTAGGATTGATTATATCTCACAATCAATCACCCTCCAGCACCATATCTCACGATCATTCATCCTTCAGCAAAATTACCAAAGAAATCTTCAATCAAAATTTTCTAGAATTTCTTAAAATGTAGTAAATTATTAAGTTCTTGGTTGAAAATAATCAGACCAGATAGAGAATGCAAGTAGCACACATAGAGGACAAATTAGAGAAGGTTACATAAAATGGTTTGGCTATGTCATAGATTCCAATGGACTGGTTTACAGGCACGACCTTATGATGGTTAAAGGTGCTAAAAGGGGACAAGATAGATCTAAAATCAAATGGAAGGAAGTTTTCTCAGAGACATACAACCTTTCGGAATCATGCAGGCTTAGCTAAGGACAAAATATAATGGAAGCAAAGTATCCAAACTAGCAATATCAACAAGTTGACATTAAGGTTTAGTTCTTATTGTACACTTACATTATGTTGGTCATTTTCCGGCCATTTCTTTTCCCGGAAAAAATCAATTACCAGCCATTTCTTTTCCAACTGTTTTCTTCTCTAGAAATTTGGTCATTTTCTTTCTTCTTCTTCTTCACGTTGGAGCTTTCGGTGAAAAAATTTTGAAAGATCCAAATATGATTTGTTTCTTCTTTAGATTCATGAAACTTCGCCCGAAAAAATGAAGCTTCGCCGAAAATTTTTTGAGATGTAAATGTGATTTTTCTTCTGATTCAAGTCACAAAGTTTAATATTGTCCCAGGTTTGCAAATGCAAAGAAACGAACATGGACTATTCAGTAAATGCATTATTATGTATTCCCTTTCTATTTTGAAATTACTATTGCTTCTCCATGCTTCTCTGTGTAAATTTGAAACAGGCAGCTTTTCTTCATTTTGTGGGGGTGACAATAGCAAATAAAGAACAAAAAAGAGGAGCAAAACATTGTGAAAGAAAAGATAGGAAGGCACTGACCTGGTGTGCGAAGAAAGAGATGACTGTGTGTGAACGAATAGGAGAAGAAAAAAAGAGAAAAGAATTAGAAGGAAAAATTATTCTCTCACGCTCTGAAAAATAATGCAATACACGCACTATGCCACATCACCAAGTTGTGTCTAGATGACACATTTGAGATGTGGTTGGAGTGTTTAGATGGAACAACCTTAAAATGAAGTGTCTAAGTGAAAAGTGTGGACAAGTTTAAATTATTTGGGCACAAATAGAGTGGAAAGCTATAAACAATTGCAGATGAGAATGATTGCAGAGGATTCATATAGTTGATCCCAACTTTGTTTGGGATTAAGGTATTATTGATTTGATTGAGCAAGTGATTGAACATGCTAAAGACACAAAAAGGAAAAACGATGTCTACAAACAGCCTCATTTCTCCTTTTATTTTCCAATTCTCAATCCCCTTCTTGTTGGGAATTGTGCAATTTATGACTCAACAAAGGAAATCGTTGTGTTATCTGGCTTATAAAAACATAGTTGTATTAGTCAATATGATAAATCCACTTCAAAGGACAGAAATTCGTCAACATGCAGGGAAAATAGTATAATACTTTTTGCACAAAATTTTAAACTAAGGTGAACCCCTATTCCCCTTCTATATACTTCCACTCATGCCTCAATTTAGTGGAACCGTTTTTCCAACTCATAGTGCCTCCTTGGGCCTTTAGCCTCCAAATAAATATCCCTTTCAAAGGCAAAGCAATATTTTAATGTCAAAGATTTTAATAGCAAAATATAAACTGCACTCAGGTCCAAGATAAGCCTAGTAAGCCAAGCAACACTAAATCATTAGACCAATTGGAAGAATCTCTCTCAATGATCATGTTTTCTAAGGAAAGAACTTCTACCTAGATTCCTATTGCTTCTGTTGTTGGATTACATGCAGGCTACACAACAGGTTTTTTCTTCTATAAATGATGATTACATTTCTTTCTTTGCCTTCTCTAAAATATTGAACAAAAGGTATTTAATTAATATATAGCTTTTCCATCTTCCATTCATTGCTTTCCTACTTGGAGCTTTTCCTTCTTTTTATTGCTCTACTTGGAGCTTTTCCTTCTTTCATTAGTTTCCTACTTGGAGCTTGCCTCTTCAGAGGTGGTTAGCAAAACATAACAATATACAAGAAAAAGTCTACCTTGTTTCTGATAGAGAAGTCATAGTTGCAATGGAAACAGCAAAAATACTCCCACCACAGGCTAAAGACAATGGATGCTGAAAAGTTAGAGGGGTTTTATGCTGTCACTATCTCAAGTTAACTGCGTGCGATATGAGAAAGGGACAAAATAAAAGATATCCCAAAGCTTATCAGGTCCAGTTTAAATCATTACTAAGTAATGGCCTTCCTAATCTGGGAGCTAGTTCAATAAACCTTCATTTATTAGCCATAAATATTGGTAGGAGATTCTACATATATTGTGCATGAAAGGAGGAAGTACTTACAACTTCAAACATCGAGAGTGTTTGCAGTTACACTGCTTTGGCTTTTTAGGTGTACCATCTTTTGCTTCATTGGCACTTTGCCTTGACCTGGCTTTTGGTGATTCAGGTTTCCTGGAAAGAGGAAGTGTATTAGGATATACAGATCTCACAAGTGTTGCTAGAGAACACTACATGCCTCCCCCTCCTCCTCTTTGCTAGACATGGGAGGTGAAAGAAGTGGATAGCCTCGAATATGAATAACAAATAACACCACACGCAGTATCCTAATAGATTAGCATCAGTTGTCAAAGATCATATGTGAGAAAGAAGAGAGAACGCAGGTTTTATTTAACTAATTAATGTCTCAATACACCCCCTCACGTGTTGGCCTAATTCTTTTCCTTTTTCATGAGCCAAGCAATTGAAAATTCTTAATGGTTGGGTGGTGAGAATTGAAATCGGGACCTCTGCCTGCTATTATACCATGTGAGAAAACAGAAAGAAGGGAGAACACAACTCTTATTTAATAGTTCCTTCGAGCACATCCCACAGTTCCCCTGGCTTGCAAGAAATGAGCTTTTCTGTTTCTGAATTCATAGAATGCCTAGCTAATCAACAAATCTATAGAAGCAGCCAAACTCTAATAAAATCCTAGTGAAATATACAATACAAGAAACAAAGCTCAGAAACATGTCTAGGTATTAGTGCCAAATAATCTGTCATAGTTACATCAATGTTGGAGATGGACAGCCATATGTTTGGTGAAGGGAATGTCAAAATCTGTTAATACGAGCTCAAAAAGGCTGCTCGGGTGGACTTCAAACAATTGCATTAGAATTTGTGAAAACATTTATTCAAGCACCTACCTTCAATAACGAATTTAGCTCAATAGAACGATATTTATTATCCCTCCCCCCCCCCCCCCCAAAAAAAAAAAAAGAAAAGCTGGAAATTTCTCGCGAATTGCAGGCTAAACTTACACAGGTCCTATTGAAGGATGAGGAGGCAGCACTGGAGTTTGTTGCATCGGCATCAACAGTATATGTTGTTGCTGCGATTGCGGCAGTGCCTGTGTCTGTGTCTGTAATTGTGGCCTTGTCATCTGTGTTGACTTCATCGACACTGGTAACTGACCAGACTTCATTACCTGCTGTTGAATCTGCTTAGCTTGTTCCGGCAAAGCCGCCGCCGCAGCTCCCCCGAATCCCGTGAAATCCAGCTGCCTCGCTAGCTTCTTCGCCGGATAATCCGTTACCAAGTGAGCACTAGCCGCTGTATCTGCCGGCTCCGTTTGAGCTTTCTTTGGAGGGAAATCCCCTCCCTCAGTTTTCTCCATTCAAAAACAAATAGTACAAAAAGATCCTCGAAAATTCACTGATTCTCCTGCGAAATTCTCACGGAAATTCCTCGAAATTCATAGAATTGAAAATCTTAAAAATTCAAAATCCGAGAGTAAGAAGCTATGTCATTCACACAGTGACATTCAGTCATTCACAGAAAAGAGAAGAATCGCCCCAATATCAGCTGGAATTTTCAAACTTAATCCACAAAATCTCGATTCGCAGTTACATACGCATGCGTGTAAATCCTCTATACGTATGGACGGACGGAGAAAAGAGGGGATCTTTTCAAAGAAGAAGAAAGAGCCTTTGTCTCTCCCTTTCTCCCTCTCTAGCTTTTGAAATTCAATTCGTAATTACGGTAAGATCGTCACATCAACCTCATCCTACGGTTAATATCGCGAGAATTAATCTCACGGCTCAAATTCATAGAAGTATGGAAGGTTTTCTTATCCACCGTTAGATGACTGGCTGCTTTACACTAGGATGCTTGGAATATAAAACTCATCAAATCATTTACCGCCACGTGGCTTATGATAATCTGGAGGGAGTGAAATGCGCTACCTAAGATTCTTTTTGTTTTGGGTTAAAAGTAAAATAGTGGAATAAAAATAAGTTAAGAAGTGCAGGGATTTTGGCGCTAAATAAGTTATAAAGTGCAGGGTTGGGTGAAAATGTTACGAAGGGCGACGATTGCTCCGCAAGGTTTAGAAATAGACGGACATGATTGACGAGGGATTCTACTTGGAGTTTAAAATAAATCGTGTTGTTTATTCAAGATTGACTCATGTTTGCAGATCCGATGAGAATCAGAAATAAGTGGTTCTTTCTTCTATCTTCATTTTTCACCCAAATGACGGGTTCTTTCTGTTTCAGCAAAAATGCGTACTACGAATTGTTCCAAAACAAAGATGTTTTATATCTTAAAATATAGGGTATTATTGTATGTTAATGTTTTTTTTTTTTTTGAAAAAAATTCTTGAGAAGAAGGTTGCCACAGTGAAGGGAATCCATCTCACATCTCTCACATAGAAAGTCACTCATTCAACCAACTCACTCAACCCATGTGCTTGTACCTTTAGTAATGAAAAAAAATTAAATTTATGATAACCAAAAAAAGAAAATATGGTATTGTATGTTATATGAGAGAGAAGAGACGATTATAGTTTAGTTTGATTAAATACGAAGAATTTTATAAACCTAGAAAACTATTATTGCACTACCTTATAGTAAGGATCTTCTTGGGTTTTAACTCTTTTAAAAGGAAAATTTCATAAATATAAAACTTTTCTCAAATGTTTAGACTCGGCATCTCCTAAAATCGATTTTACACATTATTACCAAAACAATTACAGACGATTTTGAATAACATCAAACAGTGTTCTCACCATTTTTAAAAATACAAACTCATAATCCTTTACACCACCGTTTCACACAAACTCAGAACCTTTAAACCACTATTTCGATCGCAGACCCATAACCTTTATACCATCAGTATAGTCACAAACCCAGAACCTTTACACCACACACTATCCCTTCTCTCTTTCAAGAATTATTTTGAATCAAGATGAAGACAAAATAAATTTTAAGAAATATTTTTTTCTTTAAGGCCCAAATTTATTCCTTTCAAAGGAGGCACCAGTCAACTGTCCAAGTTCTGAAATTCAATTGTGTAGTTGATTTTGAGGAAGAAATTTAAATTTTTAAAGTTTTACCCAAAATGAAGAATGAAAATTGTTAGGAGACAAGTAAAGAAAAAAACAGATCTGAAGAAATAAAGAACATAGTGGTAGATATTAGACGTATTTGGTAAAGGGTAGGACACGTGGATGGTTAGGAGCTGATGACTAAGGAAAAAAGAATAGACGGTCCAGATTAGAAAATGCACTATAGATCATCGGACGTCCCAAATTGATTCTCAGTCATTATAACAACTAACAGAATGGAGAAGAGGAGTTAGTTAGAATCCGGTAAATTCCCATTTCCCTATCTCTATTTCTTTCTAATTCTCTTCTCTCTCTCTCTCTCTCTCTTCTTCTAGAACCTTCCTCACCTTCATTTCTGTTCTTTCATGTACTCGAGCTCATCAATGGAGTTGGGACCTAATCCTTAGTTGTAGTTATCATTTGGGCTTAACTCTTAGTTGTAGTTCCTATTGGGCTTAATCTTTCAGTTCTACTGTAATTGTTGATTGAATCGATAAAATCCCAATTTGAGTTTCAATTCTTGTTCGATTACAATTTAATATCAGATTTATAAGTCCATAACAATTGGTATTAGAGCCACAACGTGGCCCATTCAATATGACAGGAGCAGAACACAAGTTCGAAGACAATTGATGAAACTGTGAGGAAATTGGAATCGCAATTAAAAAGTTACATGGCAGTCAATGATTCTAGAATGGAAGATCTGGGTAAGAAGTTGGATAATCTTGTGGAGAAACTTCTTCTTTATATTAGAGATGGGATATTGGGTAGTGCGTCTTTGGAGAATCCTCATATCAACGGTGCGATCAATCGACCTAGAGTTGCAGATCAAGAGGATACTTCTGTGGGAAGGAATCATGGCCATAATTCCCACTCGAGATATGAGATTCCTTATTTTGATGGTGAAGATCCTTGTGCTTAGTTGAGGAAGTGTGAGCGCTTCTTCCAATACAATCACATCACTAATCCCCAACAAAAATTGGAGGAAGCAGTTCTTCATTTGAATGGGAAAGCTAAGTCTTGGTTTTTCTCCTACCACATGAGTAAAAGCAATGTTAGATGGGCAGATTTCATTGCTGAAATCTATAGCAGATTTGTAAGTGCAGCCAACAGTAAATTTAATCTAATTGGGACCTTCAAGAATATACAGCAAACAAGTATTGTGGATGAATACTTAGAACAACTTGAACAACTGAAGGCATGGGTGTTGGTAAGAAACCCTACTATTCCAGAAGAATTCTTCTTAGAATTTTTCATTGAAGGGTTGAAAGAAGAAATCAGGCAAATAGTTAAGATGTTAGACCCCTATTCTTTCAGCAAGGCTGTGGGGAAGGCTAGACACAAGAAAAAATTAATGGAATCCTTGTACAAAAAAGAGAAGGTACAGTGGGGTAAGAATACAGCACCAGGGTACTTAACACAACCCAACAAGGGCACCACCAATACCTACAATACTCAAAGGAATAAGTTGTTTGAAACTAGGATAGCACAAGGGTTGTGTTACAAGTGTGGGGAGAAATACTTCGTAGGTCATCAATACAAGCAGAAGCATATTAATGCCATGATAGCAGAAACAGCACCTGAAACCCAAGAGGAAGAACCGGAAGGGTTGGTGAATAATGATGACATCGTAGAACTACATGAGGAGCAAGTACTGGATGAAGCAATAAGTCTTAATGCCTTGTCTGGGACTGAGGTACCCAATACCATCAAGCTAGGAGGTGAGTCTAAGAAGAACAAAATTACTATATTGCTGGATTCTGGTAGACTGCCAAAAAGATAGAGTGCCTAATTAATGCTAGGCCTTGAGAGTTACAGTAGCTAATAGTAATTATATCACAAGCTGGCACAAATGTCCTAAATTTAAGTGGAGAATACAAGGGGTAGAGTTTGAGGATGCAGTCAGGCTGGTTAGACCGGGGGGCAATGACTTGATTCTAGGAGGTGATTGGATGAGGGGTCATAATCCAGTGTTGTTAGATTTTGTGGAGTATAAAGCACAGGTGACACATAAGGGAAAAATGGTGGAGTTGAAAGGGATACACCACCAAGCAGAATTGCAGAGTATGACTGCAAAAAGGAGTGAAACAACTCCTAAAGAAAGGCCAGGCCATATGGGCACACTTGTTCACAATCACAGCCACAGAAGTCAAGGAGGATGGGGAGATACCTGAGGCAATCCAAGAAGTTTTGCAGGCATTTCCTAATGTCTTTGCTGAGCCAAAAATCTTGCCACCAAGCAGAAGTCATGACCATCTCATTCCCCTGAAGAATGATGCAACACCTTTGAGTATTAGGCCTTACAGATACAACTATTTCCGAAAAATTAAAATTGAGAAACAAGTAAATGAAATGCTGAGTAATGGTATAATTCAACCTAGCCACTCTCCTTTTTTCTTCCCCAGTATTGCTAGTAAAGAAAAAAGATGGCAGTTGGAGATTCTGCATTGGTTACAGAGAGTTGAATAGAATGACCATTAAGGATAAGTTTCCAATTCCTTTGGTGGATGACTTGATGGATGAGTTATGTGGGTCTAATGTCTACTCTAAGATTGACCTAAGGGCTGGCTACCATCAAATAAGGATAAAATAGGAGGATATACATAAAACAGGGTTCAGGACTCGTTTAGGGCATTATTAATTCAAAGTCATGTCTTTTGTGCTGACTAATGCCCCAGCTACTTTCCAAAGTCTGATGAATCAAGTGTTTGCTACTTACTTGAGAAAGTTTGTATTAGTGTTTTTTGATGATATTGGTACAGTGCATCTATGAGAGAGCACGTGCAGCATGTCAAAAAAGTTATGGAGGTTCTACGAAAAGAACAAATCTTTGCTAAGTAAGGTGGAGTATCTAGGCCATGTAATCACTAGGAAAGGAGTGGTCCCAGATCCATCTAAGATTGAAGCCATGACTAATTAGCCAAATCCAAAATCTATCAAGGCATTGAGAGGATTCTTACGACTCACATGCTACTATAGAAGGTTTGTGAGGTCGTATGAGTTGATTTGCAGGCCCTTGACTATTTACTGAAGAAGAATGCATTCAAATGGAATGAAGAAGCAGAAGTTGCATTTCAGGAGTTAAAAACAACTATGACTACTGTTCTAGTCTTAGCATTAGCAGACTTTTCTAAGCCTTTGATCATTGAGACATATGCTTGTTCAAAAGGAATAGGGGCTGTGTTGATGCAAGAAGGAAGACCCATTGCATATTTCAGCAAGGCCTTAGCCCCTAGACAGCTAGGCCTATCAACTTATGAGAAGGAGTTCATGGCAGTTCTTTCAGCAATAGATAGGTGGAGGCACTGCTTACAGGGAGGCCATCTCATTATTAAAACTAATTACCACAGCTTGAAGTACCTCATGGAGCAGAGAGTCACTACAGCACTGCAACAAAAGGGCCTAACTAAACTCCTAGAGTTGGATTATGAGGTGCAGTACAAAAAAGGGACAGAAAACAGAGTGGTTGATGCATTATCAAGAAGAGATGAAGAAAGTCCTACCCTTAATGCTATTTCAAGAGTGGAGCCTACATAGATGGAGGAGATCATACAGAGTTATGAGCATGATCCCACAGCCTTGCAGCTAATAACTGAGTTGATTGCAACCCCAAGAAGCAAGGCCAATTACACTCTAGCTCAGTGCATTATTATGTGTGATCAGAGGATCTTCATAGGCAGAGGAGCCAATTTAAGAGAAAGAATCTTTCAATCACTACATCAATAACCACTGGGAGAGCATTCAAGACAGCAGGGGACATACAAAAGAATAAACATGGTTTTCTATTGGCCAAACATGAAGAAAGATATTTCTAAGTGGGTTTCTGAGTGTGACATTTTCCAAAGAGTAAAGAATGAGAACATTCAACCACCAGGGCTCCTGCAGCCCCTTCCTATCCCAGAATTACCATGGCAAGACATTGCTATGGATTTTATTGAAGGGCTTCCTTTTTCAGGTCAAAAAAATACTATCTTAGTGGTTATTGACAGACTAACTAAGTATGGTCATTTCATAGCCCTTAAACACGCCTTTTCAGCTTAAGATGTGGTTGGATTATTCCTTGCAGAGATACATAGATTACATGGACTGCCCAGGACCATTGTGTCTGACAGGGATCCTATCTTTACTAGTCAGATTTGGCAGCAGCTATTCAAAGCCACTGGCACCAAATTAACCATGTCAACATCTTATCATCCATAGACTGATGGCCAAACGGAAAGGCTCAATAGGTGCCTTGAGACTTATCTTAGGGCCATGGTGCTAAATGAACCAAGAAGATGGATGAAGTGGTTGCCTCTTGCAGAGTGGTGGCACAACACAAATCACTATAGTGTTTTACATACTACCCCATTTCGAGCTCTCTATGGGTACAACCCTTCCCAGATTCCTATGGGGTCCTTACCCCACATTACCCGTACTACTGTTGGACTACAACTAGCAGAGAGACAATAATTTCTACAAAATCTAAAGGAAAATTTAAAGCAAGCCCAAGCAAGAATGAAGTTTTCGCAGACAAACACAGAACAGATAGGGAACTGCAAGAAGGGGATTTGGTGTATCTCAAGTTACAACCATATCACCAATCATCAGTTGCAGTGAGGAGAAATTTGAAGCTAAGTGCTAGGCACTATGGGCCTTACAAAATCATACAGAAGGTGGGTTCAGTGGCTAACTGTTTAGATCTTCCTCCAGGTTCACAGATCCACCTAGTATTCCACGTGTCACAACTGAAACGCAGGGTTGGCCCAGATATCACACCACAACAGCAGCCTCCAGCTTGTGACTCCGACAGAAGGATTCTGATACAACCAGAGGCTATTTTACAATGAAAAATGGTCAAGGTTAATAACGCAGTGGGGGTGAAGGTTTTAGTGAAATGGGCTAGTTTGGGTGACGATGCAGCTACTTGGGAGGATTTGGGTTATATCGAGAGTCAATTTCCGACATTTGTGGCCCAACTCCAACCTTGAGGACAAGGTTGATTTGAACGAAGAGGGTTTGTTAGGAGACAAGCAAAGGAAAACGGGCCTGAAGAAATAAAGAAGATAGTGGTAGATATTAGGCGTATTTGGTAAAGGGAAGGACACGTGGACGGTTAGGAGCTGATGACTAAGAAAAAAGGAATAAACGGTCCAGATTAGAAGATGCACTATAGATCATCGGACGACCCAGATTGATTCTTAGCCATTATAACAACTAACAGAATAGAGAAGAGGAGTAAGTTAGAATCCGGTAAATTCCCATTTCCCTCTCTCTATTTCTTTCTAAATTCTCTTCTCTGTCTCTCTCTTCTTCTAGAACCTTCCTCACCTTCATTTCTGTTCTTTCAGTTACTCGAGCTCATCAATGGAGTTGGGACCTAATCCTTAGTTGTAGTTATCATTTGGGCTTAATTCTTAGTTGTAGTTCCTATTGGGTTAATCTTTCAGTTCTACTGTAATTGTTGATTGAATCAATAAAATCCCAATTTGAGTTTCAATTCTTGTTCGATTACTATTTAATATCAAACTTACAAGTCCATTACAAAAATATGCATAAATTTAGGGGAACAATTAAACAGGATAACATGCACTTTTCTCAACACTGACATAGTAAATCCATCTTACGTTGTTTTATCCCACTAGATCTCCGAGAAACACACAAAATACAAAAAGAATCCCGTAAAACGGATATCCGAATGCAACGTAGTTTGGGGATGCCAATTATATAGCACGGAATGATCGTGTAGGCTACCAACACTACATGTTGACTTGCCCACTGGCCACCGTAGGCCGACTAACAGCAATAACCTTGAAGAGCCTTGCTAAGGGCCATAGACATTGACCGTCCCTAACGACATAGTCCACCGTCATAGGGCGCACCCAAAGACATAGGACAGTGACATAGGTCACGCTCAACGATATAGGCCAGCGACATAGACCACGACCAATGACATATTCTAGCGATATAACCAACCGTATGATGCGTACCAATGCTCCTATCCTCGAGTTGACCATATACGTAAACCATTTCGTGCAAACATAAAAAGAGCATATGATATCAAAAACGAGGCCATGCTTTTAGGCTTACATTTGCCCTGTCAAGACCTGGGGAATATGCAACCATGCATAGTGTACCATGTACCAGTGTACCATGCGTCCAACCAACACCTTTGGCATATCTCTACTCTACTCCTATAATCTATACTCAATGCTTTTGTAAAGTAATTTCTCTTCTCGGCCCCCAAACAACACTAATAGCCTCAAAAAAATGCCAAGCAACCCGAAAAGTAGTCAAAATTCGTATAAACTAATCAACATATTCTCAAAGGTTCATAATCCATCTATGATAGTAATTTTCTAACCCAAATCGGAAAATTCCTAAAAGTCACCCCCGGTCCCACGTGCCCCGGATTTCGAAAATATTCGTAGATAAATGTTAACCATGACCTTATGAACTCAAACATATTCTTAGAGAGTTCTAAGAATTCGAGAAAGGATAACATTAGGAAAATTTACATGGTGTAACTAACTTATACACTATATTTATTATAAATAAATACACTTTAAAATAATATAATATATAGCTACACTTTGAGTTTAATAGCAAATACCCAAACCTTTTCCATTAAACATGGCTGGCTTGTTAAATCACGATCCATTCCCTTTTTTGGTAACGCAAACTCTCTTTTAGTGGTTGGTGTGATGGAAACCATTACAGTCCCACGCGCCTCAGCACTGTTGTCATCGTCATTGGTCCTGGTAGACGATTCTTCCTTCTCAAGACCTCATTCCTCCGTTTCGATTCTCTCGAGGCCTTAAGATCTATCCAACTTGCTCATCTATCTCCACTAATTCAATTTCTCCAAAGTCGTTCCACGATGAGCATGAATCATTTGCGAATCTCAAAATACATCCGTTGAAGGTGTAAGAGAAACTATTCGGAGAGATTCCAAGGAAGGAATTAGAGGCCATGTAAAAAAGAGAGACGAAAGAGCTTTGTTTTGTGAGAAGGAGATGTAAATGCACGGAGGGAATTGTCTAGTAATTTTATTTTGGTGATTGGTATTTATACGAAGGAAAAAAGCATAGATCTAGGTCTTCTTCTTATTCGACGACTATATGTTGTATGTATCTTCAATGGCGGACGATTGTATGTTTTGTATGTATAGATATGAGTCATCTTCTTTTTTTCCCTATGTATCTACACTGTAGTTAGTTGTACGAGAGAGAAAACACACTCTGTTGAGTGAGCGCATATAGCCTATCGTGACTGTATGCGTTGATACGGCAAAATTTGAATCTTCTTCTTCTTTGTATATATTACATTGTATTTCGTTATATAAGAGATAAAATATTTTCTGTTGAGCGAGTGTATACAACTTATTTTGACTGTATGACTGCATCGAGCGCGACTGTATGCCTTGATACAACAAAATTGAGCAAACACATACAACATATCGTGACTCTATCCAATGCGACTATATGCATTGATACAACGAAAGCTACGAACCGTAATTAGGCACAATAGTTAAGTCTGATAATTATACTCTAAACTATAGGGTTTTATGAAAATTTAATATGACGACATATGTATATAATATGTACATCAATATATCAGTACTATATATATATATATATATAGACACACACATACATGATACCCAACTCCATCAGTAACACCACTGCCTCATCCACCAACTCCACCAGTAACATCATCACCCAGTTTTAGATTCCCACCTAAAATTTTCTCTAGCTGCTGAAAACACTACTATACTGATAGCCCCATTATTCACCACCATTTCTACCAAAAATTCTCCCCAAAATAGAGAAGGAAAAATATCAAAAACTTTATTAAAATCTACCATTGGAATAATAAACTATCTTTCTCCATTAGAAAAATCTCAGAAGCTCATAGCTTTGAGATGTCATCAAAGCCAGATCGAAAAGGTTGCATAGACCAAATAAGGAAAAATCATGAATAAGCACTATAAAGGACGAAAAAGCAAGAAAAGAGAAAGTACCTCGGCAAAAAAATAAAATGAAGAGGAGTTGCAACTTGGTCAAGAACTGCATATGACAAAAGTATTTTTTAAATATCAAAATGAAGTAGGGTAAAAAAAAAAGAGGAGGGATGAAGAAAACATGTGATTATAAAAGGTCAGAAATCTCAAACTAGAGCACGAATTTAAACAATGCACAAAAGCAAAAGATCTAAAAGAATTAAAAAACTGAAACAACAAATAAATGAAATATGAGAAAATTCGAGAGATACAAGAATTTCCAATAATGCAAGTCTAGAGTTTTTAACAAGATCCAGGCAATAACGAATTGGTTATGAGATGAATCAAACACCTTTATTTTAGAAGTGAATCAAAACTTATATTTAAATCTCGACCAATTTGTGAGCAATAATGGACAATGATTAGTAATGGATACTAATCACTTTCTAAGAATACTAAGAAGAAATTAGAGATATCAAATTGGAAGAGTTATCTCAGTACTTTAAGCTATGAACTAGTTATAGATTGAAAGATAAATCTTAAAGTAAACCTACAAAGGTTCAACGAAACTCACGATAATAATATTATTAATCAACGTCCAAAGTAGAAACATTGAAAGGAAGAACCTCATTATATATGAAGAGAGGAGGATGACCAACTCTTAAGGAACTATAGGGAGGCAACACTTAAGAAAATAACTTCTAAGAATAATTCTAGAACTTGATAGGTAAGAAAAACTAGAAATAATTGGAAAAGAAAAGAAATTCTACTTTGCTAGAAAAACAATAAATAGTACACATATTAAACCATGAAACAATCCTACAAAAGCAAGATTATAAAAATGATAAGATTTGGGCACCATATTAGCCCTAATTTGGGCGCCAATCCACAGCTCTAGTGGAGCCTTTGGACGCCTCATTTGCACAGGCTAGAATTTCTCCTTTGGATCTTAATTGTACGGACAATCTCTCCGGTGTAATCTAAGCCAACTTCTTTGGAGTGTAAGAAGTCATCAAGGGAATGAAATATGTAGACTTGGTCAATCTATCAACAATCACCCAAATGCCATCAAATTTTTTCAAGGTCTGTGGTAAGCCTACCACAAAGTCAGTAGTAATGCGCTCCCACTTCCACTATGGTATAACCAACTTCCAAGTCAAACCATTTAGTATCTAATGTTCATACTTCACTTGCTAACAATTCAAACACCGTGAAACATGCCCAACAATGTCATTCTTCCTCTTCTACCACTAGTAATGCTGCTTCAAGTCACGATACATCTTCGTGACACCTGGATCAATGCCTCGAACTGTATGCCTTCTCAAGAATCAACTCCTTCAAGCTATCAACATTAGGAACACAAATCTGACCCTGAAGTCACAATACACCAACATCTCTAATAACCATCTTTCTAGCACTACCTTGTTGCACCTTATAAGCACCAACAAATGTAGATCATCATATTGGCAAGCCTTAATACACTCAAACAAGGACGATTGCGCAACAACACAAGCAAGAACCCTACTAGACTAAAAAATATCCAATCTCATAAATCTGTTAGCTAAGGCCTGAACATCTATAGCCAAATGCCTCTCCTCAGCTGGAATAAATTCCCAACCGCCTATGCTCTCCGCCTTCCTACTCAAAGCATCCATTACCACATTCGCCTTGCCCGGATGATACAAGACAATGATATTATAATTCTTAAGAAACTCAAGCCACCTTCTCTACCTCAAATTCAAATCCTTTTGCTTGAATAAGTGTTGATGACTGTGATCATCGGTGTAAACCTCACATGACACGCCGTACAAGTAATACCTATAAATCTTGAATGCATGCACAATAGCT